GTCAAAGTTAGACTTCCCAGCACGCTCCTTTAATTTACATTCAGTCAAATGTCAGGCAAAGATAGAAAACAAATTCCCCAGTCAGTGAAAAGGGTGTGTGGGGTAGTGTTTGTGATGTGTTGTGCCAGCATTAATATTTAAACTAAAGAACAGTGCGCAGATGTCTCAGCTATTTTACAAGCACGTGTTTCCTATCCAGCACTGTGAGCTGCTGTGTGCTTTCTATATAATATGTGTTGATCTTTCAGATTAAAGATAAATTCACTGTACAAACGAGCTAAATATTTTAGTTTCCTTTTGAGGGTTACGAGCATTCATGTTTCTGGTGCTTTTAACATGATGCATGTTATAATTCTCACCATTGACATGAGCATGGAAGATACCACAGAAACACCTTTGAGACGCCTCTGACTTTACCATTGAGCCATGTCGATGTTAAGATGGTATTTAATGGTTTATTTGGATCTTGTGGGACACAGCAAATTAGATGATGGCTGCTGTTCATTTGGTCAAAAGCCTTGCATGTGACTTTGGTTCATTTAAAAACATCACTGACTCACACTGAAATATTTTCATATTACTTCCCTTGGGACATACAGTATTCTCATATTAGACTGCAGACATAATTCACTTGAGGCATGTAAAGGATCTATAAAGGATGACAGTCACGTTCTCTTGGTTCTGGAGCTTGCTGTTTTTCATACCCTGTGTTTTAGTCACCTTATCGTCTTATTTCCGTATTCCCGGCTTCAGTTTGCTGATCGCTTAATGTTTGGTCTTGGTCAACAATGGCCCTCCTTAGTCCACACAGTTTTTCGTTTTTTGTTACCCATCATTACCTCTTATTTCAATCCCAGTTTTGTTTATCCAGATTAACGTCTCCAAGTGTGCAGTACCTTAAGTTTGCACATCAAAGTTTTATTTTTGACCACACCTGCCTGATTCCTGAGAATGTTTGCTTTTTACATCCTTGTGCAGCTTCACACATGAAGCTATTGAACATCTCTCATGCCTTGTTCCCGCTTTGAGGACAAGGGTTGATTCTTTTGGCAGACGGCTCAGTCACTGGTGACAAAGCAGTTTCATTACTCTCAACAAAATATTAAATATTCAAAAATATTCAGCTATCCAAAAGTTGCTTTGATGAATTTGCTTCTTCTAAATCAGGAAAAACAACAACTATTTCCTATAAAACGGGCACTGGAAATTTACAGCTACACCTGCAGTGAGAATCTCAGTACTGACAGAGAAGGAGGTAAGTGTCCACAGGAAAGATATAAAGCTCCCCATTTGACATATTGTCAAATGGGGTTTGTTTGTGTGTGTGTTAAGACTATGGCTGAAAAACTTTGGGCCTCTCGGTAGTGCCGATAAATCAAATAAGATATGTACAATACACATGAGCTATATGCATGGCCAGCAACACATACGATTCAGAAATGTAGAGTCAGTTAGACATGCGTTTTTATTATTACACCTTTTTTACTTTTCTGTACAAATTGCTTTAAATCTATCACTTTGAAGTTGTTTAGATTTATATTTTCTTTGTTTGTACACCTTGCCATTTTAGACCCACTTTCTCCATGATTATCCAAAGCAGTGAATGTGCATTTACCTAATGAATATCAGTATTTGGAATGGTATTTTCCATTTTACAACACACCAAGCCTTATATATAAAGAATATATTTCGACAGTTGTAGTACAAAATATGAAAAACAAGCCAGTACTCATATAGAAAGGCAATACAAACCATTCTACATAAGGCAAAAAGATTGAAAAGGCCAATGTAAACATTAAGCTACCTTGTAAAGTCTTAAAATAAATAAAATACAGAGCAGCAAAAGATTTGGCCAGAATAGCATGTTTGTGCCATGATATGACACAAAAATAGAGGAAGTAAAAGCACTGCAATAACAAAACCAAATATTTCAATTTTCTGACAACGGATTATCACCTTCAGTAAGTAGCCCAGCTCAAAGAAAATATCAAATTAATACTTTACTATTAGAGGGCTGTCAGACTGACAAATCAAGGCAGTTTTCATCTGCTTTAAAACATCAAAGATGACTCTGCTGAGAAAAGTTGTGATTACAGATACCATGGGCAGCATAAAACCAAATTCATCTGTTCTCTGTCTGCTCCTTTATTGGATGAAAATAATGTTACCCATGTCCATGTAAACACAGATGTTGACCCATGAAGGAAACATGGCTGAATACACCTTGTTTTTCATCTTTGAGCTTCTGCCTTTGGCTCCTCTTGTTTAGGCTCTTCTGCCTTTGGCTCCTCTTGTTTAGGCTCTTCTGCCTTTGGCTCCTCTTGTTTAGGCTCTTCGGCCTTTGGCTCCTCTTG